GCGGACGCGTGAGCGCGGTGCGGCGCGCCGCGGGCGCCCGCGGGCAGGTGCGGGCGCCGATGGCCGGTTTTTAAAGCTATCAGGCGTTGGGGCAGGCCGGCTTCGGCCGCGCGGGCCCCGCGCCGCTGCTTCGGGGGTCGGGGGCGCGCCGTTTCGGCAAGGGGACCCTTTGCGACCCCGGACGCCTCACCAGGCTGGGTGGAAACCCTCAATCACTTGCACGCGCAACCGCCGTGTCTACCCAAACGCGCCGCCGGCCTCTGCCCCGCGGCGCCGCCGCACCTGGCCAGCGCTGGGGCGCGGCACGGAGCGGCCTTGTGCGCTTTTCAACCTCACACACTCACACACAGTAGGCGGCGTGGTGCCGGCACCGTGCGCCGTCTCTCGCCCCAGGCCTCCTTCGGCTGTTCGGTGCTTTTTGTATTGCTGTGCGGTATTGCCGATTCAAAGTGTCGGGCGCTTCACAGACAAGAAGTTTTCCCCCCAACCCCATTTCTTAGCAAGCGCCCAGCCGCTCGCGCACGGCAGGCCCACCCCTGCCTGCGCGTTTGGGCGCTCCACCCCACTTACCAGGTACAACACAACAAATTGTAGACAGCCCCATTACAATCAAAGCAAAGTGTGATCCCCTTGCCTGAACACAGTGGCTTGCCCCCAGAGCCTGTCACATATCAAGCCGTTAAAAGCCTGTCCAACGCTGTAATCATGGTGTCATGTGCCCCCATTTCGAGTGCTGCTGACCGGATTGCGCAACTCGGGAGTTGCAGACGCATCTAAGAGATTGTACAACAGCGGCGGAGTGGTGAGTGGGGACGTCCACGTTGTTGCACCCACCAGTCGTCACGTCCTGGCCGCCCGCATCAGCCCCACATCAGCGCTGCACTGGCGGCCGCGCACTGCTCTCACCCACGCAAGGGCGTCCCAAGTGTTCGTACGGAGGCGTTAACGCCTCCATGGTGCTGCAAACAAATTTGTGGCGAGTGACTCTGCCAGGTTCGTCTGTAAGGATTAATCAAGACTTGTGAGCAGCGCCTTGCCTCTGCTGATACCTACTGGCATTCCCATCCCGTGATGTGTGGACATTTCTGCTGGTTTACCTGCTGCCTGCTGGCAACATTAGGGTTTCGCTTGGTTGCACTGCATGATCGTTTGATGTGCTGAGGTGGCGGTACTGCAGGAGGCAGCGGAGTGGGAAATTGACACGTGGCCCCATGCGTTTGCTGCGGAACAGGCCAGTTGCGCATGGTTGTACAGGCTGGCCCAGGCTGGCAGCAGCGTGATGTGGCGGACAAGAGTGGCAGCTTTCCAGGTGCACGTCCGAGGCAGGGGAGAGAGCGTGCATAGCACGAGGTGGTCCATGCCTGTCAGCCGCTTCCACCGCCCTTGTTCATATTACAAGGAACGTATATTGCCGCCATAGCATGTCAGCCTGCCCACAAACGCCCTCTGCAGCGAGCTCGTCGCCGGACTACCTTTGCTCTTTGTACTCGGACATGTGGCGATCTATCGCCCGTCTAGGGGGCCATGGAACCCTCTTGGCTCACAAGAGCTTCGTTGCCAGGCAGATCACTTCAAGCCCAGCCGTGCTGGCCTCGCTGAGACCCACCAAGCGGGGCGTGGAGGTGCAGGCCGCTCTGAAGAGGCGTGTCAAAAAGACGGAGTTTGCGGGCGACGACACGGGCGTCGGTGTCACAAAAGATCAGGTGAGGTGCTTTGGCGCCCATCAAGCGGGCCTTATTTTCCGCAGCGAAGGGGCGCGGAAGATCATTTACGTCTATCTGATCATATACATGCTCCACGGCGGCGCCTCACCTACGCCGAGCTGCGCCACGCTGTGCGTGCCGCGCCCTTGCGGCCCCTTCCGAGCAACCTCCCGTTCAACTCCCCATTCAGGCGCAGAAAAGAAAGGTCCTCAACGATGTCGTTGCCAACATCAACATGAAGCACGGCGACGGCTCCCTCATGTCGCTTGGGGACAAGCCGCTGGCCGTGTGAGCGCTGTACCCCGGGGGCTCGTGCAGCACCTGGCCCGTGCACCCGCCCCTTCTCGCCAACTCCCCTTGGCGCCGCGCGCGCCCCTTTCAACGATGTGCGGGCGGCCCAAGAGCACCCCTCGTCCCGCGGGCGGCCTAGAACCGGCCGCGGTCGCATATGTACGCGCGTGCATGCGCATGCGAGCGTATGCATGCAGGCCTTCTCGTCGCCACCCCGTGCACCCCAGCAAACGCCCGCTGCCCCGCCGGCCGGCCCTGGGGCCGCCCGCCTTACCCCTCGACCCTCGCCCCCAGTGCTGTGTCGCCGTCTGGCTGCCTCACCCTGGACCGAGCCCTGGGGGGCGGATACCCCAAAGGACGCATCGTGGAGGTGCGCCGGATGGTGGAGGCGCGCGTGCACACGGGCACCCCCAATTCTGGGGCGGGCCGTGGCCGTGGGTGCAGGCGCAAGCGCGTTTCCAGCGCGGTCGCAAGCGGCTCGATGGGCCCATGGGGTTGTGGGGCAGCCGAGCAGCGCGGCCCAGTGCTCGTCCTGTGACAGACCCGCACCGCAGCGCCCGCTTGCCGCGCCACCCCTGCCACCGCTGCCCCTCCCTCGACGTAGCTGCCCCGGTCAGCGAGCGCGCGCCGCCGCCCGGCGCCCTCCCC